CTCAGCCCCAGGGCGGGCGGGGGGCCGGCGGCCATCTTAGCCCTCCCTTCAGCCCACCGCCACCCTCTCAAAACACCGCGAAAAAGCCCCGAAACGGAGCTGCGGCGCTTCCACGGCCGCCCAAAAACCAGAGAGGAGTTTTGCTACCTCTCCCCTATTAATTATTATTTCAGCGTACAGGCGGAGGAGAAATAGCCTTCATATCTCTGTCAGGCGGGCACACAAGGTACCCCCTCACAGGGCGAAGAGGCATCGCCAGCTGACCCTGCGCACCCAAAACTGGCCCGACTTTGCCTCAGAAAACCTTCAAAACACACTAATGTGGCTCCTGCGCCCTCGCTATTTCCCGCTAGCGCCTAAAATCCACGAAAACGCGGGTTTAGTTGTATTTACTAATGCACGCCGGCACTGCCAGCGCTCGCTAGCGCTCAGTCCCGCTCTTCATCAACCAGGCGGCTGCAGCGGCTTTGGGAATTTCATATTCGGGGCGTTTTGGGGCGTTTTGGAGTCACTAGATGTCACTGTCGGCTCGCGGCGGGGACACGCCATCGGGCGGTAACGCTGCAGTGCGCGGCCGGCTGGAAGCGGCCGCCTCCATGCCCCGGCCAGCCGCCCATGCCGGGAGCATGGCCGCGGAGCGGGGGCACCCGCCACCCGGCCGGTGACAAGGGACGGACAAACTGCCTGGGACACTGTCCCCGTCTGTATTTTGGGGTCTGGCCCCCGTGAACCCAGCAGCGGGCTGTGCAGGGCACTGCTCCACCACGCAATGCCCATCGCAGGGGGTTACAAGGACCCAGATGCAGGTGGAGCAACGCTACCGCATGACTCCAATTTCAATTCCATCGTCAAACTAACAGTAGGAAAACTAGCCGTTATTGTAATAATAGCGTTAGGTGTCCTGTTTTTCCAAGGTTTCGGTGCCAAGCGGCAGGGCGTTTCACACACGGAGCATCAGCTCGAGTCGTGGTCCAGCGAGCAACGCTTCGAAGCATCCTTCACCTCCCCGAACCAGCCCTGGTGCTTCCAACATGGATTTGTGAAGCTGGGCCGGGGTTGCTTCTGCTTCTGGGGTTGCAGAGCACAGGGGGAACCTTCTCCTGGGCTTCCCTTTGCCGAAGAGCCAGCCTGGCAGGGCAGGGGCTGCACGAGAGGGTTGGCCGCGTCCACCTGCAGATGGAGGTCCTTGTTGTCCGGGAGCAGCAGCCCAAACCCGAGCACCCCACGCTAATCAGACATTACATTTCTTACTATGAATGTAGTTCTATCTCCGCAGGAGCTGGCCCGGAGATAACAGCTGATGTTCTCTACTTTCACCTGATATGGGGTCATCGACAAATTTAAAAAAAAAACAAAAAAAACAAAAAAAAAAACACTTTCTTCAGCATTTATTTTGTCCAAAACAATTTATTTAGAAAAAAAAACCTCAAACTTGGATGAAAATACATCGGGGGGAGGTTTTTTTGGTTAATAATTTCAACAGAAAATTAAAAAGAGAGTAGTTGGAAATGTGGTTTCCTTCTGTTTGACACTTGCAGGTTTTCAGCTGATCTGTTTAAAAGCTGTTCTTGCTCCATTCCAAATGCTCAAGCTTGAGAACAGAGGTTTACCAGCAAACACACAAGTGTGGGGAAAAAAAAAACAACCCTCCTTTAATATTTGTATTGGCACATCAGGAATGAAAACGTGCAAGAAGAAATCACCCTTTCAAGAGGAAATCACCCCTTTTGTGACTTTTGTTGGAAAGCAGATGTTACTTTTTGACAACTTGGGTCTTATTAGGAGGAAGAAAAGGTGCATTTCTTTTGTTTTCTCTTTTTTTTTTTTTTTTTACTCCATTTCCTCAGAAACACAGATAAAACTGTACACAGCAAAAAGGATGGTAACCCATCCCTGGCAGCTGTGGGGCAAGAAGCCCTTGAGGCATCAGTGCCTGCTCAGAAACCAAGGAGCTGCACAACCCTGCCTCCCCACCCAGTCCCGTCTCTTTTTAAAATACACTAGATTTTTATTAAGAGGCAAAGCAAATAAATAAGTGACACTTAAGGGAAAAAAAAAAAAAGTTATTTCTATAAATAACAATATAAGACTAAAATGATAGAAAGCGATGCAATAAATTATCCTGAGCTGACGGGACGTGGTGCCCTGGGCGGCCCTAGGAAGGCGAGGTGACAGCCTGAGCGCTGACAGCCTGGCCTAGGAGCGCTTGGCTGCTAACACACAGACGGGGAGGGACGGGGGCTTAGTCCTGACCCCTCCAAGCCCTCCCACCCACCAAAAAACAACTGCCGACTGCATCGGGTGGTTACAGATGTGCTCGCCCAACACTCCAGGTGCCGTTTCCCCGTGTATAATGAGGAGAGACCAGAGCGACTGCCATCTGGGCCAGAATCGGCACATCTGGATGAGGGGCAGGGGGTCGTCTGAAGCCCCAGAGGTGTTGGAAAGCTGCCTGTTTATAACAGCCCCCATATCCTCGGCACCTCGGCCAGCCCGAGCGCCTCGTTCCCTGCTGCAGCGGGGAACTGGCGAAGCAGGGCAACGCCAGAAGACAGAGAGACCCTCTGGGTTTGGGAAGCCAAAGCAAAGGCACAAATACACCAAGGCACAGGACAAGAGGAGGCACTTGTGTGCCGCGGGCAGGATCAGACCCTGTTCGTCTTATTGCAAGAGTAATAACGATTGCTGGTGGGAGCAAAGGGCTTTCCAATTTCACTTTGTTGTTGTTGTTGGGATCTGAGCAAACGTGGGAGTCAAGTTAACCAGGAAAAACAATTGGGGTGGACTGTCCTCGCAGCACAGGTCTCCCTCCTAGGGGCAGACAGCCACAAGTGACCCCGCGTTCAAATAACACCCTGATGCTCGCAGCAGTCAGACACACCGCCCGGTTGTCACCCCAGCCTCTCTGCAGGAAGCTGGCGGTGTGCCCCGGTGCTTCAAGAGCAAACGGGAGATCACAGGCCTTGCCACAGCTATAGCACCATCAAGTACAACCGGCCTGGTGATGAAGCCCCAAGAATTACGGCACATGGCTGCCAAACAGCAGCCAAACAATATTTGGGGGATCCCTCCCAGGCAGCTGCAGTTTGTCCTGTAGCTCCAGCTCTCAGATCGAGAGCGTAATGTCTCGCTTGGACCAAAGCGGCACAGACGTGCCTGCATCCCCAGCCTCTCCAGCAAGCAGACACGGCTCAAAAAGCAACGGTGGCGGCTGAATCTCATCAGCTGTTCAAAGCTCAACGTCCACAGCGTCCTCCTCGTGGTCCTTGATGTCCGTCGAGTCCGCGGGGGCGGGCTGTATCACCCCAAACTGTGACAGCTTCGCTGCCTTCTGCTCCATGCTCTGCTTCCTCCATTTGATCCTCCGGTTCTGGAACCAGACCTTCACCTAGCAGGAAAACAGTACAACGGCTTAATCCAAGGTCTCCAGGAGCCCCTTTCTCATGGTGGCCGCTGCCACGTGCTTCCGAGGCCGATGTCCCCAACAGGGAGAGCTCCTGAAAGAGGGGGACATGCCCCTTCTCTGTTCAGGGGACAGTGCACGCGAGCAGGAGGAGGTGATGCTATGGTGGGCAGAGTGGTGCTGGAAGAAAGGACCAGGGGAGAGGGGGAGGCAGAGGCACAGAGGAGGCTCTGGCCAGGGGAGTGAAGGAGGTGGCTCCCCCAGCTCCCACAAGCCACTGAACCCATCCCCAGGACTACGGCTGACAGAGGGCACAATGAGACACTCACCTACCCCCTGCTCCCTCTGATGGTCACACCCTCCCTGTCCACCACAGAACCACCCTTGCTGTGTTCTCCCTTTTCCCCAGCCGAATTTGGATCCCACTACAGAAGATGACAGGGCTCCTTCTTTCCACAATAAATGAGCAGCTTGCAGTGGGAGGAGCAGGAACTTACTGGGAAGAGCAGAAAAAAAAACTTTAGCTCCAGCATCTATCCTAACAAGGTAGATAGATTGATCTCACCCAGCTCCAACCCCACAGGTTTGTGCTCCTAAACACTTTTTGTTCCGCTTCAGGGATTAAGAAAAGGATGTTCTTACTCATAAACCCCCTAAACCTTTCTCGCATCCCTCCACGCACATGGTTTCACTGTCATCTTGCAGCAGGGAGTCCCACGGGTCACTCTGCATCGTGTCCTCCTCCCACGGCCCTTCACGGCACGGGAATCGCCACAGACCCAACCCAGACCCGAGATCCATGTCACCATCCCCAGCTCCCCCGTTCCTTACCTGAGTCTCTGTGAGATGCAGAGTTGCAGCCAGGTCTACTCGCTCCGTGCCCACCATGTACTGCTGCTTGAGGAACTCTTGCTCCAGCCGCTCCAGCTGCTCTGGTTTGAAGACCGTGCGGACCCTCTTCATCTTGCAGGGCCCCCCAGACCTCCAAGGCACAGCGGGGCCCAGCGAGTTGGGCCCTACACAGTGAGACAACTCCAGATCTGCAAGGAAGAAGCAGCCACTGAAGGGGTCCGCGTGTTTGAGGCCATCCCTCCAGCCCTGTCGATGTGGCAAACCCAGCTTGCTTCAGCTGTGGCTGAAATGCAAATGCAGCTGCTCCCTGTGCTAAAGAGGGCTGGGAGAAAGTAGCACCAAAAAGAAAAGCAGGGATGTCCCTACCTAGATCATCTCATCTAGGCTCCCTTTCCCACAAACAGTTGGACCAGATGATCTTTCAAGGTCCCTTCCAACCTATTCTGTGATTCTACCTGTAGGTACAACCTAGGAGAGTCCTGGACGTGCAGCCAGGCCCAACGAAGTCAGCACTTCAGGAGGTGAGCGGGGTTTGACCTCCAGCTCTACAGAATAATAAAGTCCATCGAGAGCTGATGAACACAAAGGTCCCACCTCCATCTCAAGAAGTCCCTAACCACAAAAGTCCAAACGTTGGGGGAGTTTACCCCATGCTGGCCCCTGCTTTTACCCCTCCCTTGGCACCCGTAGTCAGCCCGTGTCCAGGAGAAGACACCAAACTGGCAGACTGGCCTGATGAAGACAAGAGTCACCAGCCCTCGGGCAGGTCCTCATCCTGGACCTTAGTCCTTTGGCCTCAGTAGGTTCAACTGATCCATAAAGTTCCTCGTGTGCAGAGGCATTAGCGGGATGAACAAGTGGATCTGGTCTCAGCCTCCCACCTAGCTGGGGCCTGATGATAACCGTCATTACCTAATTAACATACAACACAAGGACCAGCCTTGGTCCTGCCGCAGGACCAGCCGGCAGTGCTGTCTCTGGTTCCCAAGCCCTCATCCTGCCAGCGCAGATTCCGATTCACACACATCATGATGTTCAAAAGCAGCGTGTGACTGCCACCGGTGACCATCCCACAGGAGCCACAGGGCTCATCCCAGCCAGCTCTGTCCTCCTGAAGGACCTTCACAGGAGCCAGATCTCACGGCAGGGTGGAGAGAGCGCAGCCAAGGGCTGTGGAAAGAGAGCTGCAGCCACCAAAGCAACCCGTGACACCAGTTCTGGAGCCACGGCGTGCACAGAAACGTGAGCGTAGGCTTTGCACACCCGAGTGTGACGCGCTGGAGGGACAGTGGAGCCCCTCCCACTCAAAAGCTGCTGGACTGGGGACTCCGCTCCTGTTTGGAGCCCCAAAGAGACTCCAGGCAGTGGGACCTGCTGGGTGCCACCTCCAGGCGTGAAGGTATTAGGAACCAGCTAAGGCCAGCACTAAGATATGTCTGAGGGTACCACAGCTTCTGTCCTGCCAACACCCAAGCACACACTTAACTTCAAGAAAGAGATCCCACCAGGACAGCCAGCGGGACGTTTCTGCTCCCCACTGCTGCTGTTCCGAGATCTCCACCTTGGGGCAGGACGACCAGGCTGAGATCCGCTCTGCTTTGAGCAGAGGTTGGACTCCGCAGCCCACAGAGGTCCCCCCGTGGCCAGAGCCATTGCACAGTGTCACCAGGGCACAGCAAGAGCAGCCACCAGGGACGCCGGACTGTGGCGGCACATCGTGGCGAGCCAAGTTTCTTGAACTTTTACAGAAATACTGGGCGTAACGATGCCAGTTCCCACCCGCTGCTTCTCTCTCCTCCAGCGACTGATGTTGTCACGTTCTCCAGGCACAAAGGGGCACCTTGACCTACTTCGTCTCATTAACTGGGTGCAGGTTCTGCGCGTGTTTAAGGAGTTGTGGGATGGAGACCTGACAGCTTAACAGCTGTAATTGCTCTTAAAGCGATTTTCATCACTGAAATAATTTCACCTGTCACTTTTTTTTCCTATTTTAATACTGGGATAATGGCAAGTGTAATTTCAAACATGAAATACTTTGTGGAAACAGCTTTGCAAATTGTTTAACCATATTTTCATACCTTTATATTTGATGTAATACATAGATTAACACACAACTACGCAGATGCTGTCTCGTAAAAGAAATAATAAATAGTTATGCTAAGTAGGTAGAGACCAAGAGCAGCAAACCTTTAGTATCTGAATATTGTAGCCATAGGGATCGAATCAAGAGTTCCTTATTGAAATAAAATATGTGCTTGGCTGCAGGTTTTGCCTGGGCAACAACGAGATCAGGCTCTGAATGATACTTAATTTCAGGAAAAATCTTCTTAATAGAGGTACTTTGTTAAAACAAATGAGTCATTTTGCTTATAAAGAGTTACAGAACCCCTCAGGGAAAATACAGCCAGCCTGATGGATTAGCCAGTATCATCCAACACCACTGTATAAATTTTACCTACGGATCAACAACAAACCCCTTTTTTCCTTAGGTGCTTTTTGCACTAAAAATACGAACAGTTTTTGGGGCCGGGTGTTGTGAAAGACTCAGCGTGGCCGTTTCTGAGAGTGGTCCCAGGGAGAGCAAAACCGCAGACGGACGAGGGCAGCTTTGGGAGAAGAGGGGAACCTCTTTCTGGGAGGTGGGCTCCCCTCTGGGAGCAGAGGGGTACTGGCATGGTGGAGCAATGACTTTTGAGGATGAGGCTTTGGGAAATTACAGCAGGTTTTTGGAGGCGTGATGAAAACAGAGGCATTGCGGTGCCTTTCTGGGACATGAAAAAAGGAGAAGTAATTGCCAGTGTATGCAAAGCCACCCTTAAAATACAGGTTGGGGACACACGTGGACATGGGGGGGGACTGTCCCTAACCTGAAACCTTCTACTGAAGTCAAGCCTGAAGGATGTAAATCCTGTCATCTCAGTCATTTAATGCCGGGGGTAAATGGCTAATATTAATTATCGATCACTACCAAAAAAAAAACATATTAGGAAACTTTTCCCTCTCCCTCCTTCCTTTCCCACAGCCCCAACCCAACTCTTCCCCTTGGCGCT